TGGTCCTCCACACCTACATTTGGAAAGTTTATCCTATCAAGCTTCGTTAGACCAGATGATTAAAATTATGCACACTTAGACATAAAGTAAGATTCTGTCTTGATTAAACCTTTAGATCCATAATTTGTTTGAAAGCTTGGGTGGAAAAAAACCAACAACTTTGAAACTCTGAGTCCTGTGACATGGAGCAGTGGAGCCACTGTCAGAGGAATGTAGTGGATCTGATGCAGCGTTTAAAAACCATGTGTTGGTCCAAAAAACTAAATAAATAAAGTGGACATGGAGACTGTAGAGGATGTTCTCTGAGAGTTTTATAAACTTGGCATGTCACAGATGTGGAATACTTCTTGAATAAACCATTGAAGGAGTATTTCAGGTGGAGGTCTGGTTGCACGTTGGCAGTCGGTTATTGCAGTAGGTGGCGCTGTCCCGAAATTAAGAGTGTGTTCCTGGAAGTGCATCCTCCGGAGCTGCATTTAAACATAGTTGGAAGGAGGAACCAGAGAAGCTCTGGATGTGGAGCAGGAACAAGAACAAACTCCTGGATGTGGAGCAGGAACAAGAACAAACTCCTGGATGTGGAGCAGGAACAAGAACAAACTCCTGGATGTGGAGCAGGAACAAGAACAAACTCCTGGATGTGGAGCAGGAACAAGAACAAACTCCTGGATGTGGAGCAGGAACAAGAACAAACTCCTGCAGCTCCACTTTCTGCACAGAGCAGCGCGTGACGTCACGGCGGCTCCGTCCATCTTCCTGGTTCCGTCCGTGATTATTTACTACAACACACACACACACACACACACACACTCACACAGAGACAACATACGAACACACGCGGCAGGATGGCTACAGCGACACTGCAGTCATTCAACGTGTTCCTGACGGAGAGACTGACCGCAGCCGCCGTGGACATCTACGGCTTCGTGGAGCGGACGGTGGTGGAGTACCAGGAGGAGGTGAACCGAGCCCAGCAGGAGAACCAGCGGCTGCAGAGGCTGCTGGACCTGGTCTACAAACCGCAGATCAGGCTGCACAGGGCAGGTATGCAGGTCAGGGGAGGGGGAGTCGATGCACGGTTTCGTTTCAGCGACCGTCGTGAGGAGGTTCGTGTTCGCTCCGTGTTCGCTCCGTGTGTTCGGCTGCGTTAGCATGCCGCGTTAGCTCGAGCTGGCGGAGGAGGAGGTCTGTTCTCCAAAAAGCTCCATGTGCACGAATAAAGGCAGTTCGTGCAAAATCCAGTCCGCTCTCTTGTACACATGTGCAGCTGGTTTTCTGTGCATGAAACGGTGCTGACGTGCAGAAACAGGAGTTTGTGTCATGAAGCGAATCAAAGTTTTCTTCTGATTGAATATTTGTGACCAAAGAAATGCAGCAGAACCACAGCTGGCTTTACCCTGTCCAGGACTTTTGGGCTCTTTTGGACCCCAGGCCATTTGGTTTGGGTGACAGGTGTTTTTATTTATTTTATTATTTTACATATAAAAAGAGGGACATTTGTCCTGCATTTAGAACCAAAAACACATCAACTTATCAAAACATTTATTTAACATAAAGTGAATACCAACAGATGTTTTGCACATATTCTTTCTTGGGGTCCAGTGAACCCTGAAAGAGCTTCTACATGTGGCAGCATATCAATATATCTGCACCCTCAACGTTCTTGTAAGTAACTCTACAGTTTTATGGTTCTTATTTTTTTAATTTAACTTTATTTCTTCACTCCACATTTTTTGCTTCTGCTTTGCACGACTACAGTTGTTTATTTATTTATTTAAACTTTTATTTTACTCTGTATTTATTGCTGTATTGTTGCACCAGCCCACCAGAACAAATTCCTCATATTGTGTAAAGTATAAACCTGGCAATAAATCTGGTTCTGGTTCTGAAAGTCCTGAACAGGGTTAAGTTCATACTGGAGCTGCAACTATTAATTGATCAGTTTTCTATTCTGTAATTTTTAAGGTGAAATGTTCTGACTTTATTGTATTAAATGTGAGGATTCTTTATGGGTTCTTTACTCCTCTGTGACAGTAAACAGGATGTCGTTGGGCTGTGATGTTTAAGGATGCCATCTTGGACTTTGAAAAACAGTAATCAGCATTTTTCTGATATATTTTAAACCCAATAACTAATCTATCAATCCAGAAAATAATCAGCAGATTAATCAGCATTGACAGTTATATTCTCACTTAGACTGAAATAAGATTTATGGATGATTTTATAAACAAAATAGAGAAACAATCTTTGCTGCAATTATCCTCGGAGTTAAAATCTTTAAAACATCACCGTCACATTCATTCTGATGCACTGATAGCTTTCCAGTTACAGTGTAGGAGCTGCAGCCACTTCTGGGCCAAAGAAAAGCTGCATTTTATGAGCTGAACTTCCCCTTCAGCTGGTAAAAAGAAAAGGCCGTATTGTTGAATGTAGAACACAGAACAGGTAAAATAATGGAGCAGCAGATACAGGAAAACAAAGGGCTTCCCGTTAAAACACCGAACCTGCTCCAGCCCCGTCAGAACATGAAGAGAATGAGATGCCAGACAGTGGAGCTGAAGAGCAGGACGAACATGAAGCGCCATGCAGCCCGACTCAAGCTGTGACCGTCGCCAACGGAAAGTTCACCGGCTTTGTTTACGGTAGAAATACAGCCGGCAGGAGTCCCACTAATGAGAGTCCGTTTCCTGTCCCATTTGTGGTACGAGATACAAAATCAAAAGCAATAGAAAAGAACAAGTGAGGACACACACTGGAGGAAAGGCCTCACAGATGCTACATCTGTGGCCAAAGCTTCAACAGATCCTCAGACACACCCGAAGCGAACACAGAGAAACGGGCCGGTCCAGAGCATGCAGTGCAGCCGGCGCTGCCCTCGGCCCAAACTGTTAAAACACCGGCTAAAGAGGAAGCAAAACGTCTGCTCCTCTGTGTAAAACACCGTCCATGTACGAAAGGCTGATGCTTAAGAGTCTCAGTCAAATCAAATATGCAGGAGTAGCTGTTTCTTTGTAGGTTTGTCCTTCATGATTGTGAGTTTAATTGATTTGACAGACTTCCTGGTGCAACTTTGGGTGATGCAGAAATACTTATTATACTCATGCACACGTGTACCTGCAGGCCTCTTGATGTTGTACAGCTTCGTCTTTAGGATGTGGTTTTGGTGAGTTTTTACCTAAATCACTTTAATTCTGCCTTTAATGCTTTTGTCTCCATTGTTCTTTATTATTAACTGTAATAATGATAATTCAGTTTATCTACGTAGTTTTTAAAGATAACGATACAAAGTGCATTTCTGTCGTCCTGCAACTTTACTTTCATTTTCAGAAATGGATTTTACATTTAATACACATTTCTTCCTTTCAATGTCAAGAAGATGCCTTTCTTTTAACCTGCCAGATCACCATGGTAACGGATGCTGCACAGCTAACCTGGTCTGAGGGAGGTCATGTTCAGAGTTTGGTATTAAAATGGGCTGTAAGAAGCATCCAACCACTTCTTTTCCTAATAACTCTGTGTTAGTGATGCAGATTCTCAGCTGAGGGACGAGCTTCTATCTGTAAACATGCTGAGCCGTAAGTTACTGAAACCAGTGAATGAAGCCGTTCAGTTCCAGCATCACACGCTGTTGTGTTGCCATGGCAACCTGTATGCATTCAGTTGGTGATGCAGAAAATAGAGAAATATGTATTTTAAGTTTGGCCCTGATTAGATTACAGAGAACTATTAACATTAAACTCACTTTCATTTGACCTCAAACTTAAGTGACATCCTTCATTTTGGGACAGTGTTGGACCTAAACACACTGATTTAATATCATGTTTAAATGAAGTTTAAAGTTTAGCAGCTCTAATGTGCAGCTGGAATAAGAAACAAGAGCAAAGAGTCACTGAGTGATAAAATAAATATGATATGTATATACAGTCGAGCAGCTAACACCATGAAAGCTTATGTCGAACTTGCTTTGTAGTCCATCGAGAGGCCTGAAGTTTATTACTGGTGTTGTTGTTATGAAGATTAATAATAAAGACGAAAAGAAGGAGGTGCTGATCCAAACAAGCTGTTACTCCAGAAATTCTGATTCCAATATATATGTAGTAATTAACTTTAAAAAAACAATGTTTTTGTATTCTTTATGGTCCTAAAATAACCCACAGAACTCGTAGGTGTGACAGGTTTCCTCCACTCCGAGGATAAAGCAGATGGTTTGTGGAAAATCATCTGTTACAGGTAACACAGGTCTCAATACACAAGTTTCTTCTGGAAAACAGTTCATGTCGTTGTAGTTTCTTTAATATGACCACATATGGTATCAATAGGACTTCTCACAACCAAGTATGTGAGCATTTCTATGTTATCTTTGGGTAAGTCTGCTACTGAGGACTCATCCTTTGGACAAAATGAGAGAGTTAGCAGCCCTCGTTGGAATCGAACCAGCCTCTAAATGGTACTGTTTAAGTTTAAGGGCAACACTTGAACATATTTCAGTGATGAAGACTTGTCAGCAGTTGCTAGCTTAGCCCTGCCTTACCTTAGCAACACATTGCTAATGAAGGTGTGTTCAGACTGGACACTAAACAGACTTCAGATGTACACCGTGTCCAAGCAGCACTTTCCTGTTTCTGTCCTTGCAGATGTCAAACAGTCGCCCACACCGACCTCCACGGAGGACGTTACCCCTAAACAGCAGGACTGGAGCCCGAGTGGGTGCCAGGACGAGCCGGGACCGTCCACAGTGAAAGAGGAGCAGAGGGAGGAGCTGTGGATCAACGGGAGCGAGGAGCAGCTGTCGGCGGAGGACAGCGACGACGACGGCGACGCCTTGACCAAGGAGCTCATCAAGACGGTGCAGCAGCTGGAGGACTGCAGAGCCGCGGAGGAGAGCCGAGAGTCAAAGCAGACGGCCGTGGATGATCCGATGCTCTCCGAGGAGAAGACCAGCACCACCTTGTACCGCTGCCATATATGCAACTACATATTCACCAAGAAGACGGTGCTGACGTGGCACCTCAAGACGCATGAAGGCAAGTCTCAGGACGCCAAGGGCAACTTCGACTGTCACATCTGCGGCAAACACATCCCCTGTCAGAGCAACCTGCAGAACCACATGAGAGTTCACACGGGAGAGAGACCGTACAGCTGCCATTTCTGCGGCAAGTGTTTCAAGCTGAAAGGACACATGACAGAACACATCCGGACTCACACGGGAGAGAAGCCGTTCAGCTGCCACATCTGTGACAAATCCTTCAACAGGGGCTCCACGCTGAGGAAACACGTTTTAGCCAAACACAAAGAGGAGAGGCCGTATAAATGTGGTAACTGTGACGAGCTGTTTACTGAACGGCTGCTGATGAAGAGGCACATGAGGAAAGTTCACGGCGTCAAACTGCCCACGAGTCAGAGTCCGGCCTGAGAGAACTTCAGAGAAGATGATGCATGATGCACTGGGTGGGAACTCTTTGGGGTTTAGTATGTTTTTATTTAAATAAAAGTCCTTCCTACATGAGGTAGACCTGCCACATATTGCCTAGAAGCACACAATCATACAAGAACTGTGGCTAAATCAAATCTAGTAGAATTATGACAGTTATCCTTTAACTGTTTGACAGTCTGGGGAATATGCTTCATTGTGAGATATATAAAAAGATCCTCACATGTCTCTGCATTAAGAGGAAAACTGGGACCAGGAGGACATTAGGTTCGTTTAGCTTCATTCAAAAATACACTTCTTACAACACAATTATGGGCTTTTAGCAAATTCTGTTTTCAGCAGCCAGCGGCAGTGACTTCCAGCAGTGATGTGAGTTACCACTGACTCCTAGAACTCTATTTTCTATGATGGAATCACTGGAACACAAAACAATGAGACACTTTGGTGCTGTCGTATGCTAGTATTTGGTTAAACATCCTTTGGCCATTTTCACCTCAACTAAACTCCCTCAGTAGCTGCTCACAAGCTTCAGGCTGGTGTTGGACTTCTCCTCTTGACAGGTTTGGTGCAGTTCATCTAAATTTGGTGGCTTTCTGATGCAGACTTTTTTCCTTCTTCACATCCACAGACTCTGGATCAGGTTTAAGTCGTGACTTTGGGGTGAGCAGTCTGAAACCTTAATCCTTTACTAGTTTTGATGTGTTTTTGGGGTCGTCGTCTTTTTGGAAACCCAAATACGTACAAGATCCAACCTTTTGACTTATAACTGTAGGCTTTCCTGAACACTGTGGAGGTAAAACTCATTCTTTATTATTCCATCTACCTTCTGTAAAGCACCAGTTCCATGGCCAGTAAAAACGCCCCAGAGCATAATCCTACCACCGCCAAGCCTGACGGTAGGTTTGGTGTTCTTGGGGTTAAAGGCCTCACCTTCTCTTAGTTTTAGTTTCATCCGATCACAGAACTTTCCTCCAGAAGTTCTGTCCTTTGTCCATGTGATCAGCAGCAAACTTCAGTCGAGTTTTAAGGTGAAGAAAGGGTTTCGTTCAGCGTCTCAGCTCATGGCGATCTAAAGCATGCTTGACTGTGGACAAGCCAGGGAGGCTAAGCTAACCATCTTTAATCAATCTTTTTATCTAACTTGCATAAAAGCATCTTTCCCCACAATGCAACAATGCCAGACTGTTTTTCAATTTATACTTTCAAGAATAGTCTGACACCTTTTCCAAGCTCACTGGCTCTAAAACTTAACAAGAAACTGACTGAAACGTATTTCCCAAAATGTAAAACTATCCCTGTGACCTGAATAGACCAACTCAACATGCCACAGACATATCTCGGTCACGTCTATCAGTAGTCCTTGTAGACACAAACATGCCAAACATACCAACACATGATCGGTACTCTACAAAAGCACAAAGCTGTAGGAGCAGCTGCATAGTGAACGTATTGTATGACTGCCTCTGAACCGATGGACCACTTGGTCAACTGTTCATGTGCTGCATATTTCTGTTCCATCTTTGTTTGGAGTCTCCAGTGAACACTAAAATGAAATACCAGATTTAAAGAGATTACATAAATATCTACCGTATGTTCATTTGATAAATTCTTTAAGGTCAATCTTTGTACTAAAAAACAAATATATATATATATATATATATATAGAACTAATTTGAACCCTAAGATACACAACTGTCAGTTACTGATGCATATATTGTGCTGTAAAATAGTTTTATATATTTATATATGCATAACATATGAACTGTATTTAACGGTTGTCATTTTTTTTTTTTGTCACAGTTCAGTCATGTGATGAACCTGTTACGTGAACATCCAAACATAAAGATCTAAACTTCCACCACGTTCAGGTGTGAAAAAGCATCACTGTCATCTTTTGCCTTCTCTGTCTTTCTTCACTTCTTTTCTAATGCAACCCTGCACAAGTATGGAGTTCATAAATATTTGCAGGACACGGTAACGAGACAAGGACGAGAGCTGTGGCTCACGTTCCAACATCATGAGCTCATGTGTGCGCTGGAGTAGAAGTGAAGGTGTTTCTGCTCCCGTTGTTACTTTGCTCACTGTAGAAAGTATTCACTTCACTTTTTTCTCCTCTTCGTTTGTGTTGATGAGTTTCTGTCCCTGCTGCTGAGGAGCAGCCCCACAGCGTGATGCTGCCACCACCATGCTTCACCGTAGGGATGGTGATGCTGGTTGATGAGCATTAAAGCTGTCCGACTCTGTCTCATTCATTCAGTTTGCCAAAGGTGGACTCCAACCAGTTCTAGATACACCTCAAGGGTAATTTCAGGAAACAGGATGCATCCTGACACCATGTGTGTGAAGAGATAATAGTATCTCCAGGTTTCTCAATCTCATTATGGACTCATTTACCATAATTAGCAATGACCTTGGGTGTATCCCCCGGATAATAAACTGGCTTACCGTCTTGCCATCGTTGCCAAACAGCACCAGTCCTGCCTTGGTGACAATGCCAGGCTGGCTGGCTCCGGGGATCTCCAGGGGCTGACCATTAGCTGCGGTGCCATTATTGACCAGAGTGGAGCCGTAGAAAGTCACTTTCTACAGCGAGAGAGACACAAAATAGCACTTAGTGGTGAAGACAGTCTGTCGTCACACTTTACAGCCAACAGCACAGTCGGTGAGTGAACATAATATATAATATAGATAATAAACATAATATGGATCTTGTACATCTTAAATAGTAGAACAAGTGTAAAATTCATTCATAATTCCTGTATAAAACAATTTATCTAACTGTCTAGGATATCAATATGAAATATGAATTCTTAGTATTGAAACCTCTGAAGCTCTTCTCTTACCCGTCCATCCACCTCTGCCCAGGCACCAGGCACTTTGTCGTTTCCTCTGATCCAGTTGTGGATTGCCTCGGCAGACTGGTTCCAGTCAATCTGTGGAAAACAGACGACACTGTCATCTTACTTTGGTTCTTGTGTTTCAATGAGAAACAAAAAGAAAACAGACGGCAACATGTCTTTATGTCAAAGATAGCTAATAAATCATCCTGTCTGTGTTTTATATCAAGATAATCCAATAAACTGTTATTATTACCAGTAGTTATGAAAGAAGTGATGAATTCTGATTTGTGCCTTGAGAAGAAAGAAGTATCTGAAGACTCCCTATATATCTATATATATATATTTAAGAAAGAAATTTCTACTTTTTACTTCAATTATACATTCTTATTCTTCTCCATCAGTTTTTATTGAGCAGTAGATGGAAGTGAAGCGTCTGGATGTGCTTGTATTTCACCTTGGAGTTGTCTTTCTTCTGGATGCACTCGTACGTGGCTCCCTCTAGTGGCTGTGTGATCCTCGGCGCCTTCCCCGTCGCAATCAGCCTCACTGCATCCACCTGGAACCAGAACAATGCAGCTCCAGGTTAATCACACTAAATAAACCACTTGTCCTGTCTTCCTGGACTTTGCCATCGGCGTGTTTGTCGTGTTGGGAAACTGACTGCAGGAGGATAAATATCATAACGCACTGATGTTTGCTTTTCTTTACATACATGCAGTCATTTGGACGAACGGCTTTTGCTTGGTTCTGTGTATTTGTGTTGTTCTGCTTCATGATTTCAGCCCTTTTACTGTACTACATACTTCATACTTCATACTACTACTACCAAACCCTGACTCTGTGTTTTAGAACTGTGCATTTTTCCTACACTTCAAGGCAATCTTCACTTACATACGTTTTCATATCAGCAGACTGCAGTGATGTCTCTAAACACTGCAGTGTGAAGCAACATACGTGCAGATTAATCAGAACCACTGCCGACCTACCGGTGACGTCACATTAATTACACAAAGTTTGAAGAATCTGCTAATGAGTTGTAGGTAAAGATACAGATAAAAGTAAAACTGTACATGATTGATTAGTTGCCAATGAGCGCAAAAACAGTGGAATGAACCTTTAAAGCTGCATTAATGAGACGTTTTGCATCAACAATGTGAACCAGATTTTCTGTTGGAAAGCCTGGGATCAGCTTTATATGGCTTTGTGGTGAAAACAGCACTTCTAATGGCAAACAATGCAACCACACTAAGCACCTGATATGAAAATGTGTCGCCCCACGTGCCAGATGATTCACGTTCAGCTCTGAGGCAAAACAGAATCATGTTCAAATTTAACTGCTGCAGATGAGACAAACATTTGGTTTGCTTTCCCGTCTTTCCCATGAGACGACCTCCGAGGAGGGTTCACATTCGAGAGTGTTTTGTGGTCACACCACACACAACACACACCCTCAAGTGTAATTTATATGGAGTGTTTAAAATGTGTTTACGATCTAAATGTTTTTCTTCATACCACTGTATCTGCAGCAGAAGGCTCAGTCTGCCACGCTGGTTATCTCCACCCACTAAACCACACTCACTGTTCCTTTCACTCCCTCTGGGAAGAGAAATCTCTTGTAGATGGTGTTGACGGTGTCGTTGGGTTCAACGTCGCACTCCCTCTGCAGCAGGATTGGTCCGGTATCCAGTCCGTCATCGGCCCAGAACACGGTGAACCCGCCCTTTTTGTCACCGTGGATCAAGGTCCTGTGAAGTCCAGCAAGCAGCACGTGAAAGATCGAGTAACGTCCACCCAAAGATCTAAAAAACAAACTTGGGCGTCGCTCACCAGTTGATGGCAGAAGCTCCCCTGTGGCGAGGCAGCAGGGAGGGGTGGTAGATGATGGAGCCGTGCTTGGGGTGGTCGATGACCTCCATGGGGATGAACTGGGAGCAGAAGGGCAGGACGTTGAGCTCTGCGCCTGTAGCCTTGTACTGAGCCACCACCTCCGGGATCGCCTGGCCCTTCACTCGCCAGCGGGGGAACTTGAAGACGGGGACGCCATCCTTCTCTGCTTCGGTGGCTGCAGGGAAGACAATGAAACAGCGATTAGAGCGACATGAAGAAGAAACAATGTGCAAATCCTGGATGAAAAACTGACACGACTGCTCCAGGATCAGTGCTGGTGTCATAAGTTCAGGTTGAAAAGTGACCTTTCACATGACTTTGGACAGTTCTGAGCTTCTATACAGACGCTTATGAGACAAGGTGGTTGTATGAAAGGATTGAGGCCATACAGGAGGAATTTAGAGCACAGAATTAGCAAAAATAAGAAATGCAGCTCTGACCACACACATGAAGTTCATCTGATAAACTGTGCAATGCTTTCTCTCTTCTAGGATATAAAACTTCAGAAGGTGAACTTTAGGTTCTGCAGCATTTCAGAGCCTGAAAGTCTTTTCACTTCCAGAAGTGGTTCAGAAGGGAAGCATGACAGAAAGTGTTTGGCCAGATGGAAGTGCATTAAATGAGGGAAAGCTGGTGATCCTCAGATGTAACTAGACTTAGACATTCGCTGTATACATCATATGAATAAGTAGTGCAAAGTTTTCCAAAAACAATGAACCAAATTACACAATACAATCAAACAGTGGACAAATAACAATAAAAAACACTCTGTGCTTTTAGTTTTAGAGGAAAGTGAAGCAACCTGAGAAAATTCTGGGACTAAAAGCAGAATTTTTTTTAATGTAATAAAGTCTCCTGCATCATATCTGACATTTGTAACGAACCAGAGTCCTGAAAGATTAGAGATTAAATTAGATAGAACTTCATTGGTAGAGTACTTCAGGGAAAGTGTTGTTCTAGAAACAGCACACCGACAGAGACAGGAGCTCACATCAATTAAGAAAAAAAGCAGTAGACAAGGAAACAGGAAACATACTGACAGGACATCAGCAGAAGATTCTGTTAATTTTCCTAATTAAGGACCGACCCAGTCACCACGTCACAGCTGCACCAGTGGATCACTACAGGACGGTGATGTACTGACCTCTATGACATGTATGTGGGTGTGTTAAAGACCCTCTCAAGATAAAATCAAGTTTTTCATCTTGTTAAAATGCCCACATGGTGTTTTTTTTTTGTATACTGGGGCAAAACAGATTTCATTTCCATCCTGAAACTACAGTGTGCTGCTGAGAGTTTAAAAAACGTGGTTTCAGACTTCCAGGGTTTCTTATGTCACAAACCTGAAGAACGAATCAAATCAACTTGAATTATTCCTCATCAGTTATTCCTCAGATTCTGTTTCTGGTTTGAACACGTACGCCTGAATAAAGCTACAGCTTGACATTGTGTGGTGCAGAATCATTTATAATGTTTGAGGAAGATTCAACCGATTTGACCAATTTGATATTCAGCATTTTTATTTTATTATATTTTTTACAGATTATTGGTAAAGTTTATTGTTTTTTCCTAAACTGATTTCTGATCTAAACTAATGCAGTCACTTGTCTCCATTTGTAGACACAACTCTGCACTCCTGAGCCAATGTAAATAGCAATAGTAAAAGATGTTGATAGAAGTCCTAAACAAATATAAACTGATCCATAACTGACATATATTATTCAGGAACAGCTTCCTTGTTAATACTTGGTGTATTTTTTGTTGGGTCAGCTATAGAGCAGCTACAGAGACGATGCACGGAGCCTCTCCACGTGGATTTATGGTGCAACTCCTTATTATTATTATTATAACTCCATGTTTGATAAAGATTAGTGGCACATATTCTAAATGTGTAGTTCTAACTCACAACCAGTCTAAATGTATTTCCAATCCTTCCTCGTTCTTCTATGGTGCTCTAAATCCAGTTTCATATCCTATCGCTGCTCACGGTTGGTTTTTTTATGAACCTATAAAGAACCCATGACAGTCTGCATTTGGGTGCCAACACTCATGACAATGCAACTTCCTACATTGATTTTTTTTTGGTTTAGTTTAGAGTCCCACAGTGATAAAACCAGCAGTGTTGAGAGTCCAAGTTTCATTTGGCACCATCATGAGTTTATTCATGGTAAGTGAGAAAAAACCCACACTTTGCTTTAGAGGCAGAGGAAAGGCAGCGTTTCCACTGAGAAGAACTGGTGTTAGCAGCACTAAGAGCTCTCACCCAGTGGGTCAGCCTTGCCGTCCTTGTCCGGGATGGTGAAGACTCCTACGACGTTGTGGCCGTCCTTCCTCAGCTCCTTGTAGACCTCCTGGCCAAACAGACTCTGACCAATCACTGCGATCTTCATCCTGACACCTCGCTGTGTTCTGGAGGAACAAAAACATGTTTGGGATCAGTGAAGCAGGAGCTCTGGGATGACAGCTGATAGAAATTTATCAAACTTCCAGAATTCAAAACATCTTGAATTTCTTATCAAATTCTTTGTTTGTTTGGTGGAAAATGAAAAACGTACTGCTTCAGTTTCAATCAGGTTTTAGAAGTTAAGAATACCACAAGTTATTACTTTAACGTGCTGGATGGTAGCTGTTAAAATGACTTTGTTGACTTGAGAATATTTCAGCCAATTCCTGTTTTGTCTGTTCATGGCAGGATCAGAGACGGAGAAACCAAAGGCTGTAAACAGATTCATTGGCTGCTCGTGGTGACAGATCTGGGTGTCAGACCAACAAAGCAAAACCAGCTATCTGAAGTCATCCCGACTCACAGGTGCTTTTGCAACTATAAAGGGACTGAAGTTCAGACAAAACACAAACGTGCTTCTGGGTTCTGTGGCTGTCGAAGCCTTGGTGGGTTTGAGTTGTTTCAAGAAGACCTGAAGGGTAAAGAAGTTGTGTAGCTGGTTGACACAAAGTTAATCTGCAACTAGTTTGGAAGTGAATGCTGCTGGTTCTAGTCGGTCAGATGTGAATAAACGCAGCATGTTAGTAGATCCAGTTACAATAAGCCAACTGAAGACCCATCACACTGCACTGTGGGGAAACAAGCATTTCTAATAACTGTCTCCATTTTTCTAACAAATCTCTAAATCAAAAAGCAAGAAAATCCTTCTCAGATTCACTGACAACAACAATAATTGTTAGCTGTCACCCAAATTACAAAACGCTCACAAGACACTTTATGCAAACAGGTGGTTGCATCTAAAGTGCAAAGTCAGCTCGACTCACTGTGACGTAACACGTATGAAGACAAACTGCAGATATGTTGCATGTGCACTCAGCTGGTAGTCTGTTAGATAAACCGAGTAACTGCATTATACAGAGATGTTGCTGCTATTTAACCCACCGTCATGTGTAAAGGTAGGATTTGCATAAAGGAATAGAAACATCAGGATGTCGTGGTTTAGTTTAGAAGCACAGAAAGTCTCCAAACTGTAGACTTCAGCTCTGTGCGACAGAACAAAAACTCACGATTACCTCAATAAAGCCTGGACTTTCACAACTGTTGGCTTTACACGGATCTATCTGATAAATGTGAGTGTGTAGAAACATTCCATATAGAAGAGAACAGAAATAGAAATTCTGTTGTGACCACCAGCATGAATACAAATAAATAATATACTGAAGTACAGAATTCACTATAAAGTGTAAAATATGACTTGATTAAAAATGCACCACAAAGTGTGAAATGCACACACGTGCTAAGTAAAGCTACAGTGATGTCCATTCCCAGGAAGGCTACAAATTATTTCTTAACATGACCAAAGTATAGTTTGCATCCATAATTAAATTCTCTGTTAATTAAATAGTGAACGCAGCATGAAACACTTGTTTGCTTATAATCTTCTGTACCTATCAGTGCTCAGCAATCAGGACTGACTTGTGACAGTTTATTGACCCCGCAGAGGGAGAGGGGGCGGGGCTTGCGCACCTGCCAGCCCGCTCTAACCAATCACATCCCTCCTTCCTGCACAGGCCTCCAACGTCGACCAATCAAACGCACAGAGGAGTTGGAAGGCATTTTGACAGGAACACGATGAATGGTTCAAACACACAGCTCTTAGTTTCACAGAAAGCAGCATTCCTCATGATAATCACACAGCAACGCGCTTCATCAAGTCATCTGCAGCCCTAATGCGGGTTCTGGTTTAATGTCCTGCAACAGTTGCTGCAACAGTTGCTGGTTGCAGCAACTAAGTCTCATTTCTAGTTAGTCTCCGTCATGCACAGGAATGTGTCGTGTAGTCCTTACCCCCGCCTGCAGACCCGGCGCTCCTCTGCCTGGTTCGGAAAGAGAGCTCGGACGGACAGTGCCGCGTTTAATTCGCTCACCTCGGACACACAGGCAGGCGGCCCAATTACATAACGTGCAAACGCAGCGCCGTGATTGGACAGTACGGGCCATGAGGCTGCAGGGGCGACCAATCAGCTGCAGCCGTCTGAGAACAAACCCATTCACATGGAAGCTGAGAAAGTTGGTTAAATGTTGACAAAGCGGACCACTGACTTCATGTGACTGTAACTGGCAGAAATGTGCAGAAATAATCCAGAACTTGCGCATTATTCAAGTTATGAAAACATGGAAATGCAGCCAAGTCACACTGTTTTTATCACATATGTGCCTTTTTAAAAAAAATCTTTTTAAAATCATGTCTGAGATTTCAATAATCAACCAATTAGCAATCAAGAAATAAAAGAACAGCAGAATAACTACCAACAAACCAACAAGTACCAACCTATGGTGAGAATAATTTAAATAACATAAGAACAGATAAAATTGTATTTATCTCAAAAGACATTCTTGTGCAACATCAGAATCATAAAGGTTTCATTGCCAAGTGGTGGTACAAGGACTTTTACTTTGTGTCTTAATGCACGACAGCAAACATGAACATATAGATTAAAACACGTGTGGCCAGTCAGCGTTACAGGACAAATAAGATGCTAGAAGTCTGATTAGCAGTTAGTGTAATCAAAGGTTTGTCAATCACAAAAAAAGTAATAGAAATACTTTCGGTGTGCAGGAATGTGCAAATAAATCACCTGAAAATATGCAAAGTTACGTCATAAGTAATGTAAACACCTTGAAATGTGCAAGAGGATAATAATAATAATCCTATTTAAAAGCTGTGATAAGGCTGAGAAAAAAACAACAACATGATATAAGAAATGCAGCAACTAGAGTAGAAAAGCAACAATAATGAAATAAAATAAATGAATAGAACTGTAAAAAATAAACAATGACATGAAAATTAAATGTCCATCACATGAACAATGTCGTACATGAAAGTGAAATATTGCACATGTAATGAAAATGACATTTTACGCACACAAAAATGACATATTGTGCTTGAAACTAAACGCTAAACGGTGTGGAAACTGATATTGCACAAAGTGTTGAGAAGTAATTTTGCAAATGGTGTTGATGTTGCTCTAAGTTTCACTTTATATTCCACTTGTAAAACACTTTGGGTCGTCTTCTTTTCTTTTTATACGTGTTTCATAAGTCAGCACTAAACAGTGACTTGACTTAAGAAACTGATGTCAACACACAACACATACTTTCCATTCATCTGCCTGCATCCCTACAAGTTGGCTTCACATCTGAATGAACAGCTTCAACTGTTCAACACTCAGACTGTGAGCTGATATTTGTGTTTGCAATGAAAACTGGTACATTAAGATCAAAACAAATGCAAAACTGAAATATCTACTGCTGTGGTTTATTTGAATTAGACTGTAATGGTGTAATGGTTGGTGTGTTTTAGGAGCCTTTAACAACTTAAATGAATGTTAAGTTCTGTATAATTAACCTGGTGTCACATGAGACTGACTTCAAGCAACTAACTGGAAAATTATCTTCAGGGATCTTTAGAATGAAGTTTTACCAAACAAAGCACATGAGGACATATTCATCATACACGGTATATAAACAGGATGGTAGCAGCTGGTCTAGTCACAGTCGTGCTGCTTGTTTTGCACTTTCACTGTTTCTCAGCAACAATCTGCACATAAAAACAGACTTTACAGGCAGAGATACGTCAGCAGGAAGCTAAAACTCTGGCAGACATGACATCCACAGCACAACCTGTTTGTCAATCAGCTGGCAAGCAACCAATCACACAACGGAAAATTTAACCCATTTACCAGAGTCACTGGATTACACGTTTGAATAAATCAAACGCACCTATTTTGTTTTTGTGTGTTTGGTATCTTGTCTGCTACAGCAATGAATTCATACATGTTTTATACAGCAGGACATCTGGACATCATGAAAACGGTGAGACTGATCAGTAAGAAGAGCGCCTCCTTATTCCTGTTGGTCGGTGATTCACAGATAAAGAGAGACAATAAAAACACAGTGACGTAGGAGCTGATAAGCTTGTTTTTGTGTTACCAAAGGTCAACGCCCTGGAAGGTCAAAGTCTGTGAGTCAATAAAACAATGCATATACATCCTACAGTCGGTTTAACAAAGAAAAGTGGGTTAGCCAGTGTAGCAGAGTAGTACTGAACCTGTGTTTGCTTATCAGTTGAATTCAGCTGTTTTCTTACTGAGATGTGAAGAAAAGCAGCAGAATCACTTTAACTACATCACATTGATTCTCTTCATTTGCATGTTCTGTTCTTTCTACCCACATATTGTTCAGACGAGGTGTTGTGAGTGCACTGATTAGCCTCAGGCCACTTCTGTTTTATGTCTTGTGTTTGTTGGTGGTTCGGATGCGTCACTCTCAGGTTCTGCAGCACTGTGGTGACCTTCTGTAGCATCCAGGGTCAGAGGCCAGCGGCTGAGGGCTCAGTGTTGGTACCTGCACCGATGCTGATGATGCATGTTCTTCAGGAACAAGGCTGCAGGGAGAACGTGGCTTTCCGTCAGCCATCCTAAAATGCTCATATTTCACCAGCTGACCCACATCAAGCAAATAAAGTTGTGATTTACAGAATTTGACCTCTGAACAGGAAGAGTATAAAACTTCATTTAATTATTAATCTTACTGGATGAAACAGTTTCCTTGGCTTCCTGAAATGCTGTTTCATTACTGCTTGCATCACTTGTGTGTGTGTGTGTGTGTGTGTGTGTGTACCTTAGTGTTAGTTTAAGCTGAACTGCTTCATTCTGGTCCTCAGCAATCAGTCAAGTTAATGATCCACTCAGCATGTAGTAACCTGGACATCAGACCAGCTGTGTGTGTGTGTGTGTGTGTGTGTGTGTGTGTGTGTGTGTGTGTGTGTGTGTTGGTTATGGTCTATGTAATGTTCTCAGACAGAACTGCAGTGCACTCATGGGTGGATCTTAATAACACACGAGCTCCCCTGAACACATGATTTGTCAGATTTGTTTGGTGTCTCCAAGTTTATTTTTTAGGTACGCCAAGTGACTTTCAGAATATTTGTGAAGGAAGTGAGATGCTTAAATATCCAAAACTTTAGAGTTACACTTTATAAAGACTTAGCTTCTGTTCACTTTGTATTAAAACACGTAGTTCTGTTGCAGGCTGTAGAGGTTCCCTGTTTTGTATTGATATGGACATACATCAGTCAGGGTTTTCTTTTAATAAAATAAAATAATAATAATCATAAAAAAATGCACATTTAAAGGAAAAATGTTGCTGTGATTTTAGTTTCCTCAGAATAACCAGAAATCTTTGTAAACATGATTTTGTCAAATTTCAGAGTCTCTAACAGTTTGTTGTGTTTTCTTTTCATTTTCTGTTTCTTCACCATCATGGATCATATGCAAAATAAGACGATAACTGTTTTTCTTTCTTGCTTCATCACTAATTCACTCTGATAAAGACACCAGCATGTAGACTGTTCCATCAGCGTTAAAGTTTGCTGCTGTCATATCACAACCTTTACAGACAAACAACTCTAACTCACCCTCTGTGGTGCTGACAGCAGACAACAGCAGCTACTGACCTGTTTTTTATCTTATGATTTGAATTTGCCATATTTTTATGAGTATTTTAAGTGATAAATAACAGCTGAATCTGTCGTGTCTGACAACTAAGCAGTGAAAAAATGAGCTTGGATCCATGAAGAAAGCAGACTGTGGTGGAGTTCATCGATACTGTGAGAAGTGATGGAAAGCTGTGACCATGTATGTGTGTGTTTGTGTGTGTGTTCAGTCAGTTAGTATAATATGACAACAAATGCACCTGTTTTAAACTTCAGTTTCATCTTGTAATCTCCTGTTATTCACACCAGTGTCTGGAGGCTGCATCTGATCAAACCTGATCTCTTTGTCGAGACAGAAACTCGCTCTTCATCCACAAGGGGGCAGCACTCCACCACAGAAGAGGCCCCACTCTGGCTCCAGCCTTCATATGACTTTACAAGTCTTTTGTAGTTTTTTCCTGCCTGACAACAAAAGGGAAACATGTCCAGTATTTGGAATGGGACGGGATTCCCAGAACCCACTGATCCAGGGGCCAGAACATCATGAAAGTGCCTTGATCACTAAAATAATTTTGGATTCAATATGTACAGCAGGAATAAAGCATTTAAAGATCCCTGAAACAACATAAAAGTAGAGCCCCAGCTGTGATTTACGGTGGTATTTGGAAGCAGGAGTCTTTAAAAAGTTGTACAGGAATAAAGATAAAGAAACAATAAAAGATTAAAACATTATTCACTGATAACGGTGTGAATGATTCCCACCTGAGCAGCACTGAGCTCACATGAGGCGTGTGAAGAGAATGTAGGTGATTGAACGTCTTATCATTAAGTTATGCAGAATATATAACCAAAGCATATTTTACAATAATAGTGATAATAAAAACAGGCTTCACATCCTTTTAAAAGATCCTTATTATACCAACTAAGACACCTTCATCATAGTCCCTATTTAATATTCAAAGTAAATAAATCAATAAATAACTAGAATAATCTAAAGAAAATTACAGGCTGTTTCATTGAATCATGCAATGTCTGTAAATCCAGAATACCATGTTGTGTTTTTATTCAATACACTGTGAATATTGCCCGCAGCAGAATGATTTACACGTTTTTAATGCA